TTTTCTTAACTGTAAGGTGAGAATCATAATAGCACCTCTCTTGAAGAATTGTTATAACAATTAAATGAGTTAATGTGTGCACAAAGCACTTACTACAGTCATGGCACATAAGAAGTGATTAGTAGGGCTGGGGTTGTGGCTGAGCAGTAGAGCCCTCACCTAGCATGTGCTAGGCGCTGGGTTTGATCCTCAGCACCACATAAAAATAAATAAATAAAATAAAAGTATTGTGTCCAACTTCAACTAAAAAAATATTTTAAAAAGGAGTGCTTAGTAAATTGCTAGCTGCTATTATTTTTATTTTTTTTGTACTAGGGATTACACCCAGAGTTGTTATTATTAACCCAGGTTGAAAACAGAATTATTAAACCTGTCCCTATTCAGAAAACTCTTAAGTTTTCCACAAGTTGGGAAGGTCTCCTTGAGTAAGTAAGGATTTGCTTTGTTTTTCCCGCTTAATTCAATAACTTCCCACTTCTCCCTCAACCAGCTCTCTCACAAGCACCTGCTAATAGCCTTCATTGTTTACAGTGCTTCTAACAAATGTGGGTAACTTCTCATTTGTATCCTTAATAGACAATTTCCAAAAGCGTATTAAAACTTCAGTTGGTGTTTGGAGACCTGGGTTTCATTTCCTTTGTTGTCCAGTTTATCTGCATTGGATGGGTCTTAACAGCACACAACACACTCTGTCCCAAATCAACTCTTATTCTAGTACAACAGAGCTTAGTATTTATTACAGGGTCTCCTTTCCTGCCCCAGTCACGCTCAGGGTTGCAGGTGCCTTGAAGCAGGTGTTGGGGCAGCTCGCTGGAGGTCCTAGATATGTATCAATAAAATAAATAAGAAATAAATTAGCCTATGCGGACCTGAATTTATGGCGGTCTCTCCTCAGCCTAAGTGAACAAACAAACTTCCACAGACCTTCCATGACAGAAAAGGTAAGAAAGTCCGTTTCAGAGATCCGGAAACCAAAATGTTGAGGGCATGAGGTCGCTGAGCAAGTGATGGGTGACTGTCATTAGGATCATTCACTTGAGTTACTTTAGTGAATGAACATATATAGTGCTAACTTGATGCAGGGTGCTGTTCCAAAGCACTTTAAATATTGATGTAAATCATAATGTAAGCAATGTTTTTCGAGCTCATAACAACTCTATAGACAGGGACTATTATTCTGGTGTTTTTACAGATGAAGAAACTGAGGCCCAGAGCTAAGAGATGTCAAGTAACTTGTTCAAGGTCATACAATTAATAATGTGTTTCCCAGTTGTGTTTCGTAGGCCTTGAGCATGTTGCTTAGCTTTAATGGAATCATAAATGTTAAGTATTTTGCACTGTTCATAGATATCATTATATTGAGGTAGTAGGTATTGAGGCAATTGAAGGTCAGGGGTCTTCAGCCCTGATGGGATTAAAATCTCAGCATTACCAAACCCAAGGTTCCCTATCGTGGGCTCTGGATGGAAGGTGGTGATAGTTTCCCATGTCAAAATCCATTAGTGCTGCGGCTGCCGCTGTTCCTGTTGTTATTTTCCACAGAAGAACACCCTCCCCCCAAGGAGACCGAGAGGAAAATAACAATGATAAGGACCCAGCTGATTCTGTATGCAAGCCTGCAGATCCAAGTCCATGCATAATTTAGTCAACACTGCCCCGCAGTCACTTAGGCTGAGGAGAGACCGCCATAAATTCAGGTACGCATAGGCTAATTTATTTCTTATTTATTTTACTGATACATATCTAGGACCTCCAGCGAGCTGCCCCAACACCTGCTTCAAGGCACCTGCAACCCTGAGCGTGACTGGGGCAGGAAAGGAGACCCTGTAATAAATACTAAACTCTGTGTACTAGAACCGTGCAAATTCAATCAGTTTTCTGGTAAACTGGGATAAAACCCATCTCCCTTTTCTATGATAGATGGACTGCAGAGGTTGCTACATCTCATATTCTGCTTTCCTACCACAATGACGAGAGCACTGGGAATCCTTCTGACACAAGCATACGATTGTTTTTCTGAGTCACAGAATGTCAAAGATAAGCAAATTTTCTAATGTGACGATATAACCAGAAAAGACATGAGAAGAACAAAATGCTGCTATTTTCTTGAGTGGTTACTGAGGACCAAACGCTTTGCTAAGTGATGTCTGGGGCGGAGGTAACTCTACTACACATAGGGAAAACAAGGTAAGTTGGAAGAAATGGGAGCCATAGTTGTGCAGTGATTTCTTTGCACAGACAGTTAAACTGTGGCCCAGAGAGAGAAAACAATTTGCCTGATGCCACTCAGCAAGTTTAGTTCCAATGTGCTCCCCTTTTTTGGTTCTCCTGCTACTTTTAATATTCACTTTAAGGGACTGGGTATGTAGCTCAGTAGTAGAATGTGCCCGGTTTGTCCAAGGCCCTGAGTTTCATCCCCAGGACTGTGAAAATGAGAAACAACAACATCCTTATTTGAGTTCTTCCTGAGTCCCAAGCTATGACACAAGCTTTGAGTGTATTATTTCCTAGGCACCAGCTATCTGCGATTACTTGTCCTCACCTATGGGGCACTAGGGCCACAGATACTGATACTGGACTCCAACTGCTGAGTTCCTGCAGAATCTAGGTTCGAACCTGGGTTAAACCTATGGATTTGCTTGCGCACCACACCTGGTGGTTCCTGTGTGAACACCTTCGCGATCCTTTCTTTTTTCTCCACTCAGCACTGCCCAGGGCTGCAGGAGGGCATGCAGAAGGGGCAGGAGACCTAACAAGGAAAATATTCTGACCCTGGATGAAACGGGGGCAGGGGCTCTATTATTGCATGTATTAATCCATTATTTATTTTTCCTCTGTCATTCTTCTCTCCAACAGGTGATACTCTTGCCTTTGACGTCTTGGGCTGAAGCAGAATAGAAATGAGAGGCCATTTCCCTGAAAGTCAGCCCAGGCTGGAGAGGCAGCAGTTCCTGACCATTTTCCCACCCATACCCCCATGGCCTCATGGGTTCCCACACCTGGGCCTTGGGGACAGATAGACTCACCCGCAGAACATGAAGATGGTGCTGGAGGTGGCATCGTAGGGCAAAGGAAGCGTCTGCTGCAGGCACAGCTGCTCACAGCCGCCGTTAAAGCCATCAGAGCAATCAATGCCTTTGGAGTGGTCGTAGCAGCCAGAGCCGTCCTTCATGGGCCTGAGCTCCTCTGGGCACTGCTCAGAAAGAGGGCAACAGGGTGGTTATGGCACAGGAGGTGGCTGGCCCCAATACTCCCTCCTCCCACCTTCTGAGAGCCTCGTGTGTCAGACACCAACAGAGACAGGTTTGAAGACTCATTTGGTCAATTAATAACTGGGTGGCTTTGGGAAAAAAAAAAAAAAACTTTACTTTTCTGAACCTCTGCCTTCCTGCCTGTAAAAGAGGATTTTTGTGACTATCTCCTTCATAGAGTGGTGAGAATGGAGGGAGACAGTGTCTGCAAAGTGTTTGGAAAGTTATGGATATTGTTGGGTTGTCTTCAGTCCTGTTTGGATTGCTATCACCTGACAGAGTCTGCTGCTAGCAAGGTCACTCATGGAAGCCGTCAGATATAATTTAAAAGAGACCCTAATAATATGAGCTTAAGTTCCAGCTTTTGTCCTTCTCACTGTGTGACCCTGGGCAAGTTACTACCCCCTCTATGATTCTGAATGACCTCATCTACTTAATGGGCCTAACACACCTATGGATGTTTAGTGTAGCTAAATGGTATCATGAGGGTGCATAACTTACTTCGGAATTTGCGGCAAGGGTTGGTACTCACAAAATGAACGTGAGTTATCTTTCTGTCTTGAACTGATCTCTTCTCCGCCCTTGTCCCTTGAACTCTAAAGGAATCCTGGGAACAACCAAAAGCCTCCTAACTAGCCTGCTGGTCTCTAGCTTGGCCTCCTGAAATTTTCCTCCAAAATGATATTTCTAAGTAGCAACCTTAGCTTAAATGAATATATGGATTTTTTTTAAACTCAGATCTTCCTTAAACGAATAATAGGGTTCCTCCACCGAAATGTTCAGATGCTCTGCTCAGCCCTGTGCACATTCCTCCTCTGGTCTCTAAGCAAACCCCAAGAATTCCCACCTTCAGTGACCTCAGCTGTCACGTTCTCATCAGTGTGTGTGGCACCTGCTAAGCACTCTGGGAGTGGATGATCTGATACTGGGGACATCTGGCCCTTTATTTAGTTTTCCATCATTTGCTGAGGCTGAGCTCATCTTCTCCAGCGCCGTTGACAGAGAAGCAATAGGAGCACTCCTGCCTTCAGAAGAGTGAGGACCTAGGTTTTAATTTCATTCAACCTTCTGCCATTTCCTGTCCACAGAGATAAACACCCAGAGCCCAGCCCTCCTCATCCATCACTGGACATCACTGATTAAAATGCCCTCCCCTGTCTCCGGTCCAGCCAGCTCCCTAGCCCCCTCCCCAAGCCGTCCTTCTGAATGACATCAATAAAAATACACACACACACATACACACACACACACACAAAATTAATTTCCCAAAACCACCACAACAAAACACGAGGTCAGCCCTCTTGGAAATTAAATTTTGCCTAAGAAGAATTTGTAATTACGAATGCATAAGAGAGTTCTTGGAGACATTTGAGCATTTGAGACTGGCACCAGGAAGGGTGATGGAGAAAGTAGGTTATAAATGGCCTTTGTCAAGCTGCAGAAAGGTTATAAAACGGCTACGTTTTGTGCTTAAAAAGAAAAATCAATTTTCCATGTGAGTGAAGTGCTGTACATATTAATACAAGCTCAGAGGAGAACCCTGCTTGTCTCTGAACATTCTGTCAGACAGAAGGGCACCTGGTCACAGGGTCATTTGGAGCCATTTGCTGGCACTGGGGGCTGGGTTCTGTCTGTCTGCAGAGACTCGGGGATGGGCACTGGACCATCTCACTGGGAAACAAGAGAGACCTGGGTGGGGGGTAGTAGTCCCAGTTCTTTCCATCTGCCACTGATTCCCAACCACCTTGGGTTTTCAAATCCGTGCTCACTGCAACCCGAGCATTATCTGAGCACATGACCTGTTTTACTCATTCAGTCCTTATACAAATAAATGAGCCAGTGAAGTAGACAGATAATGACTCCCCAAGATGCTTCCCTGTCGTAAGCCCTGGAACCTGGAAGCTGTGAATACGTCTGTCTGTGGTAAAGGTTTTGAGATGTGATTAAGCTAAAGCTCAGGAGGAGAGTCTCCTGTATTTTACTGGCTGACCTAAATGGTATCATGAATGTCTATAAGAGAAGCAGAACAAGATTACCCACATAGAGGGGAAGACAATGTGCACTTGGAGCAGAGATTGGCACACCCATAGCCATGAACCATAACTGCTGGAAGAAGCAAGGCTTAGCTTCTCCTGTAGGGGCCCTAGGACCTGCCGACACCTTGATGTAGGACTCCTGGCCTCCAGAACCATGGGAGAATACATTTCTGTTGTCTTAAGCCATCCAGTTTGTGGCGATTTGCTACAGTAGCTGGAGGAAATAAATACAGCAGGTCCTGACATTGTTCTCATTGGATAGATGAGGAAGCTGAGGAGGGACTCACACACAGGGGGTGGCCGGACAGGGCCTGGAAGGCTTGCCAGTCTGTAGCTCTTTACTGCCTCCTGGGCAAGTCACTTCACCCCCTGTTGCTTACTAAACATATCAGTCTTAGAGAGCAGGGCAAGGCAGGTCTTGGAGTTGATCTGACCTCCATGCTTTAACACTGAGGGTCAGAGAGCAGCAGCACACTACACAGAGTCCCTTAGCACAGAAGTGGAGGACACAGAGGCTGGCTCCCCTAGTCTCAGCTCAGGGCTCTCCATGCTACTCACTACCCTTTAAGTTAAAGCATTTGACTGATGAAGACAAACTTGCAGAGCCTCCATCTCTTTCCCCAAGATGATTTACAGCTGAGGAACTGAGGTTCAGAAAGGGGAAGGATCTTGATTAATATCACACAGCAGATTAAAGGCAGAGCTAGAATTATACCTAAATTTGATCATGAACATGGGAAAGACTTTCTGAGTAAGTGGAGCAGATGTATCAGTGACCCCCATAGGATCCTCCCTCCATCTGCCACGGGCTTCATGCCCATGTCTTAGAGGGCAAGGGGGGAAGATGAGGTCTCCCTTTGCCATTATTTATTATGTGTACATTGTTTCAATTATTCCATTGCTCATCTTCTGTCTTCTCCACCAAAATGTAATATTTGTCATAGTATAGGCTACCTTTGGTTTGTCCTCAGCTGTCACAATAGTAGGTACTTGCTATTTGTTGGATGAAACTGCAGAGTGCCAGACAGGATGTTCTATGGATTCATGATGGGTCTGCAGTAAAGGAAGGGGATCAGGGGAGAGAGGACAGAGGGGAGGGAAAAGATAGGTTTCTGAAGAATGAAATGGACCAAAGCATGTTGTGTGTATGTAGGAATATACAACTGCAAATCCCACAAACATGTATAATTGTGTACCTATGAATAATGGGTCTGAGTTCAAACTGAATTATTAATTATTCAAACCAAATTCAAACAATTACAAGCTGTGTAACCTTTGGTCCATGACTTAAACTCTCCTATCTTTATATGATTGCTGTGTGGGGGTAAATATGTGTCATAGCTAACTGCAAAGAATGTCCCCAACAATTCCTGGTCACACTCTTGAATAGGCCCCATACCTCATGGCACTGTACCAGGGTTGGTCTATGTGACCAATAACTGATGGTAGGAGAGATGCTGTGAGGTTTTGTAGTGGGAAACTGAGGCCTGCAGGTATAACAACCAGAGAACCCGGGCCTGTCAAAGACACAGGTGCAGGCTTGGAGGTGAATTCTCCAGCCCATTCAAGCCTGCTGGGATGACTGCAGCCCCAGCCTACATCCTGATTGCCACCTTGCCAGGGCCGCACAGCCTAGTTACTCTGACTCTCCACAACTGCATGATGTAATAAATGTCTTTGTTTTTTTGTTTGTTTTAGGATGCTTGATTTAGGATAATCTGTCACACAGCAATGAATAATAATGTGAGACAAATGTTATTAAGTTCCTAACCTAGTAATAATCAAAGGGTGGCTGCAGTTCTGAGTTCGTAAGGAGCTTAGGATCCAGCTTTAGAGGTAAGAAGTGCACACATTTGGCAGACAAGAACTAATTCTAGAGCAAATATTATAAAATATGGTACAATTTGGCTGGGAAAAGGAAAATTCTGGAAATGTGAGTGAATGGGGAATAGCAGAGTGAGGAAATGTTAGTCATGGAAGCCTTCCTGGAAGAGATGTGATGGGAGAAGGGAGATGTCTAGGGTACGGACATCCCCAGAGGGGAGGCCTGAGGTCTCGCTCAGGCACCATCACTCATTTGCCCTGTGACCTTGGACAATCCATGAACCTATTTGGGCTCCAGTTTCCTTTATCTATGTGGGGGCACAGCTTGGAGAGAACAATGTGGGCAGTGAAATCAGGACTGAATTCCACTGCAGGCTTCCTGGCTGCACATCTGGGAAGGCTGGTTCACCTGGGAGAGAGCCCCCACCCCAGGTTCTCATCTCCAAAGTGGGAATACAGTGCCTCCCCCAGAGGCATTCTGGAGACTCTGTGAGATAACACTTTCGCACACCACAGGCACTTAATAAATGAAGGATAAATTAACAAATGACAAATAAACAAACCCCAACCTTCACAGAGAGACTTAATGGAAACCACTAGTTGATTATTTTTCTTTCTTATCTTCCCAAGTCCTTACTGCACACCTACTCAGTGCCGAGCAAATGTTTTAGTAGGTATAAGGGTTGTAGTAAACAAGACAGCCAAGAAACTGCTCTCCTGGAGCTTAAACTCCAGAGAACAAATGATTAATAATAAAACAAGTAAAATGATTATTTCATAGAATAAAACAGTACTATGAAGAAAGAATAAAGTATAAGGTGATAAAAGGTTAATAAGGATGAGGCAAGGGAAGCATAAACTTAGGGTAGAAATAGGAAAGACAGACTTTATTTTTCTTTTTCAAAAGTAGATTTCCTTACTTCTTTGTCTTTCTGTATAGATTTTAGAAAAATATTTTCTATGTTGGTAAAAATCATGTGAGGTTTTGATAGGAATTGTCTTAAGCTCTTATGTTAATATGAGAAATATGGGTATCTTTATGATGTTTGTCTTCCAATTCATGAATGTATTATGTTTTCCAT